CACAAAAATATGCGTTCTGTTCTTGATGTTTAATGTGTATCATCAATTCCTAAAAACGTTTTTGATTGAATGTTACATGAAAATATGTGTTTTGTTCTTGATGTTTAATGTGTATCATCAATTCCTAAAAACATTTATGATTGAATGTTACATGAAAATATGCATTCTGTTCTTGATGTTAAATGTGTATCATCAATTCCTAAAAACATTTGATTGAATGTTACATGAAAATATGCGTTCTGTTCTTGATGCTTAATGTGTATCATCAATTCCTAAAAACATTTATGATGTTACATGAAAGTATGCATTGTGCTCCTGAATTACTTTAGCAGACCTCAGATGTATTTTCAATAATTTAAACAAAATATTGTATCATTTCAAACTTTATTTTAACCAACAAAACAATGTTTTGATTTTGCTAGCAATAATTGCAGAGTTCAAAGTCTGATTAATAAATTATTACTCCATTTTAAACCGTTTGAGCCAGATGTTTCATGGAGTCAATGTCAGAAACCTCAAACAAAATTCTAAATTAACATTAAAAAAGTTAGCAAAAAAGGAACACTCTTAACTTTATTATCACACATTAAAGAAATAAGTGCAAAGTTTATTTGTATTAACTTCAAAAGTAGTCAATTATATGTATTTAAGCTTAATATACAATCAGCAAAGATTCCACAAAAACTTTTAATCATATTGTCTGAAAATTATGCTTGTTTTTGCCACAATCAAACAAAATTTTAATCAAAATTAAAATTTTATTTTTACATACCAAATTTTGTCAAATCAAATCTCTTGTAGTAGTTTCTGATTCAAACAACCATACAAAATTATCTGTTGTTGCAAACATAAATAAAATTTCCCACCTTCTATCAGACGATGTCATAGAAATTCTTGTTTTTAGTGATAATGTAACATTTCAATTTAAAAATAAGTATATTTTAACTTCAATGAAAATGGAATACAATTTAAATACATTTTTTTTATATATTTAAATACTTGCATTATTTTTCTGCAATGCATAAAAGAGAGTTGTTTGTGGAGATGGAGCCATTGTAAAACATGTTGCCAGAAAAAAAGTATTATCAGAAAAATCTATAATTTCTACCACTAATGATTTGCAAAAGCTAACTTAAAAATATTGTATTGCTGACTAATTTAAAAAAATGCCGACAGAAGAATAAAATGTAGAAATGAACAAATCCCTTGGCGTGAGTGAATTTTTTGAAAAAACAAAGAAAATAAAAAATCGAAAGCAATTGCTTTCAAGTTTTAGACGGAAACATATGGGCAACTTTTATCTAAAATTGCATAAAATAAAAGAAATAGAAATTTATAAAAATTATCTTGATAAAAATTATTATTTTAAAATTTAAAATTTTTACAGTAAATGTAATAATTCATCTAATATTTTCTAAAATTATTCAAAAAATATTTTTAAACTATTATATATTTTAATTATTTACCTCCCCAAGGCCAAGAAGGCCACTACAGTCAGGGAGGCTACTTTATGTGGTTACAACCCTCTCAACTTTATAACTCCGAAACACAAAAAAGGCTGCTGCGCGGAGAAAAAAGCATGGTTCTACCAGGGACATGGTGGGGATTGAACTGGGAACTTCTCGTTTATGAGGTGAGCGCTCTACCACTACACCACTACCGCATATATAATAAAGAAACAAATTTTATTAATAAGCACAACCTAAAGAGCTGATATTAGATTTGCTTTGTGTTTTGGTTTGAAACATAATATAAACTTGCATATTGAGAAGCTGACAATTGCATAATTTTTAGAAAAAATATTTTTTAACTTGTAATCATTACTAAATTTTAAAATTATTATAAATAAAATTTAATCAAAATAATTTTTATTGAAGAAAAAAATTTTTTTTTTGGCTATATAAATATTATTTTTAGAGAAAAGATATGTCAAAGTTGAAATACCGAAACTTGCAATAGGCAAAATGCGGAAATAATGTGTGGAAATAGGGTTAGAGGCTTGGAAGCTTTAGTACATACATTGGCTGATTTAAAGAGAACATACAAAAGAGTGCTGCTACATCACCTAAAGGTTTGGGTTGGGGCAATAATGTTAGGGTTAGGAGAAATTTCTTTCATTTTTACCCATTGAAAATTTCCATATTCCAAATATGTATGCATATAGTTAGGAAAGGTTTTTTTTTTAACTGTTGTAACAACTATTTCTTAACTCTTTAACTCCCAAACACATACCTTGAAAAACAAACCACTGGATATATTATTATTATTTTCTTTTTGAGTTTGCTTCTAAAGGCTTTACCTCGGCATATATTTAAATAGCAATTCTCTTATTTTTTGTGAAACCAGATTTAATCTATTTTTTTTATATGCGATTGCTTTGGTCTGTTTATCTCCGAGTTGTTTTTTATCATTCTGCTTCTCCTTAAAGCTCACCATCACGCCTCTCAATCTCAAGGCTGGATTCATGATTTGTCATAAATAACAACTTCTATTGTTGATGCAAAATTTTGCAAGTAAAAGAAATGCTAAAATAATGCCTTGATCTGGATCCTCATCATCCAAAGATAAAGTCATATGCTTGAATAATTTTATCAGCTTTCAACTGTTTTTACTTATATTGTTTAAATATTGTGTTTAGATCATTTAGATCAAATGAAATCAGTATTCGATATCTTGCTCACAGCAAGCCTTCCAGGAGACGCGTGTAGTTTTATGTCTTTTATGTAAATGGATAAGTTTTTCATTTTAGACAACATGGTCATGGCCATTTTATATTAAGAGTTTCAATACTTAGCGAAAAAAACTAATTTTTATACAAAGAAAGCAAAACTAACAAAATAGGAAATTAAAATAATGTTATAAATAGAAAAAAAAAAGAGAAAAAAATTAATAATTTAAATAATTTGTGATGTTTTCATTTTTTTTTTTAAGGGTGGTTGTTATTAAAAATTGTATTTTAAAAGATTTTTTTTGCAATACATATACTCGTTACATTAACATTTACCATTTGCAACCAGACTCAAAAACCAGTTACTTTAGTAGAATACATACAACCATAGGAGCCTCAGTAGAACACATACAACCAGAGAAGCCTCAGGAAAGAAGGAGAAAAGATTGTATTAGAGTAAGAGTTAGCTAAAAACTATTAAAAGGTATTAGACAGATGTCTATTATAAAATCACAAAATTTAAGCAAAGAATTATTATTAATAATTGTTTACGTTTATTTCACCAATAAGTAATATTTCACTTAGTAGACCAAAAAGGAAGTAAGCAGGTGAAACTAAGCGTACTAAGCCAAATATTATAAAGCAACAGGTATTTGATATTACAAAGCACTAAAAAAGTAAAAACCCTTTTTGACTTTTTATTTCATTTTAATATTATTACTCTTTTAATAAATGTAGTGTAGCATCATTATTGTTAAAACGCAAAGTTGTTTGTTTATTAAAACTAACCGTTGGTGGGAAGTGTTGTTCCATAACAACAAATTCAAATGACACCTTAAAATAATTTTTTTTTTCATTTTTTTTTTTATTTGTCATATTGACATAAATAAAGTTCAAAAAAACTTAGTTTAAATTGTTTTTTGTTATGGGATGATAATTAGAGCATGAAAGGGTTAAATTAAAATGCTTAATGTAGCACAAATGTTTTTTTTGTTAAGTGGTAAACCCTA